TGCGAATGCAGGCTCAAACTTGCAAATCTCGCTGTTCGAAGAAAACATAGAAAAGCTTCGAAGTCTTATGCATCTAAATATATTGGTATCCAAAGTTCGCGTGAAAGTGAAATACTAATTTTGAATAGGAAAGTAAAAAAAATGTATTCGGGGTATTGACCATTGCTTTCTACACATTTTGACCATATTTCTGGCATTTTGTCGACACCATGCAAATAGAAATGTTCGCCAAACAATCAGACACCGAATTTTCGACTTCGACTTCTGCGTAGGAATCGAAGTGCTGCTCAGCCAATGCGTGTCCCATCGATGAAAACAAATAGTAATCCGAAGGGGCCAAGTCTGGTGAATACGGCGGTTGGGGAAGCAGCTCCCAGCCAAGTACTTTGATTATAGGTGCATTGCCGTTTGACAAAAGTACTTTGCCGTCTTCTCTGGCCCTTTCTAGTTGTTTGTCGATCAATGCATGATTCAAATTGATCATTTGTTGTCTGTAGTGATTGGTATTAACAGTTTCACCAGGTTTTAGAAGCTCATGATATACCACACCCTTCTGATCCCACCAAACACAGAACATTGGCTTCTTGCCGAATCGATCTGTTTTTGCAGTCGATGTTGATGGTTGTCCCGGATTGACCCATGATTTTCTCAATTTAGGATTCTTAAAATAAATCCATTTTTCATCGTCATTGACATTTCGATACAAAACTGATTTGCTTTCGTGTCTTTGAAACCAAATTTCACAAGTGTTTTTTTGGTTTTCCATTTGTCTTCGTTCAATTCATGTGGCACCTATTTTCCATTTGCTTTTGACTCAAAGTACCAACGCTAATACACCTGGTATTATAAATATATGATCCTAAAGTTTCTATATCTAAGCCTAGACTTAACAATATGCATAAAATCTATACGATCTATCATTTCACAGGTAAAAGTAGTACAACAGTGCGAAAAGAAGTTGAATTACGTCTACAACTTTATCAAGCTTCGAGTAAGCAGCCTAATTTTACTATGAGCCTGTTATTTTGACCAATTCTGTAAAGAATGGAACTATTCCTATAGTCACTCCAGAGTTTTTAGCTAAGAGGTTCTGATTTTTCTGTTTAAATATTAGGAGTTTTAAATTATTTTTCCTAAATAAAATAATTAAATATTTTCAGAATCGCGATCTCTTTATTGTATGACCTTGATCTGTAACATTCTTATAGTAAATATTTAAATAGATAATTATCTGCCATATGCATATTATTTGAGCGTCTGACAGTTCTCTCTCGCATGATTGCTAAGCTGACGTCACACAAAGAGTATATGTCAACATTTAATAAAATTATGCAATCTAGAAATATATGCGATTTTTAAGCTCCAAGTCTTATACAAAAATAGTTCAAGATATTTATTTAATATAGTTATATGGTGTATATTTTTTTATGAATCAAAAAATAAATTTGAACAACCGAAATTATTGATATATGGGATACGGGTGGAAACGTAAGCAAATAAAGATATGCGTATATAAATCAAGGAAAAGAGAGTGCAGCAGCAAAGTCACTTATATGTTTCATTTCTTAGCTTAAAGCAATTACTTTCAATATTCAAATTCTACACACTTGTTTATGTAATCCTTCTGACAGGATAGAAATGGCACAATAATGTCGTTAATACGTATAAAACAGTTGATTTTAATTTTAAATACCGTAGATCAAATCGAAAAATACCCTTAATGAAAAAGGCAGTCTAAATTCTTAAAATATACTTCCAAGTACTGACATTGGATACCTCCAAATGGCAAATTAATATCAGAATTTTTCGGAAGGTGGTAAACAGTATATTTAAAATCGAATCCGAGGCAGAGACAATACCGTGTCCGCTAGGAAAGATCAAAACTCAATACGCAATTTGAACAAACAAATAGCGCAAAATAGAAGAAAATCTACAACCAAATGATTACAAAGCTTTTCTATTATCTATTTTCAATTAAGTTGAAAGAAAAATTCTATATTACTGTCGGGTTTTCCAATATAGATGATATTATTTCCAAGTGTCAAAATAATAGTTTTACAACCATCCTCTCCGATGAGGCTCACTTTTATCAAATAAATAAACAAAACTATCGGTTCTGGTGCGAAGAAAATTCACAAATTATTTATGAACAACCATTACATTCACCTAAATTGAGAATCATATCCAACTTTTTATGGCGGCAATTGGAAGAAATTGATCTTGACAACATCTGGTACCAACAAGACGGAGCTACGTTCTATACAGCACGTATAACAATTTCATGAAATTGTGACATTGAATGGGCATTGAGATATAACCAGAATTTACATAATTATAGAAGGCAGGTAGGTAGAGTCTCTGTCTAACGACACACCTAGGCCTTTAGGGAGCCCATTGAGATCCCACCGGGACTAAAATCTCCTCACTCTATTGTTTCATCTATGAACCAGATCGTGCTTCTGATGAAGTTTGTCTGTAAAAAAAGTTTTATCTGTGCAACCTCCAAAACGTCGTTAAGAAACCCTCGGCCGATAGTATTATAGTCTCCTCTTCTTCTACCTCCTGACAGCTTCTACAATAGTCGTTTTATAGTGTCCCTAATCTGCTGACATGTTTGCCAATTAGACAGTTACCTGTTAGCCGTCCTACACATGTATAAATATGTTAAAGTCCTGAAAGAAGACACATACAAATTTAATTCAAGTGTTCGATTAAAATCTTACTTATTATAGAACCGCTGACGTATAAAGCTATATGAATCACTAACATTTTTGGTCACTTACATGGCGCATTATGACGCATTCCTCAACGTCTCTCAATTTAATTATCAAAGATTTATGCCGAATGGTTCAATAAAAGAACTCATGCGTGTGCTGACAAACTAGCATTTTCATATTGCGAAAAGAACATGTATACCTAGATAGATACGTCAAGTAAGGTATCGAAATTAGCAATAGACAATGCAATGGGATTAGATGTAACACCCACACATTTGGTATGAGAGTTATCCCACACACAATAAAATATAATATTATGCGTATGCCCATATAATATGTATATCAAATTTAGATCTATGGTAGGTATGTGCACGAGGAGTCGAGTAAAAGTTAATGCAAATAGAATATAGTGAGCCGAATCGTTAACTGAATATTGAAGAAACGTACACTCATACTTTGTGGAATGGGCTTGAACTCTGGAAGTAATGAAGTTAAATTTCGTAGAATGTTTACTTAAAGGGTGATCCATTTCGAGGTTTCGTACTTTATTAAAGAAAAAACACAGAAAATTGAAATTTAATGGGGAATGATTATTATCATTCGAAAGAACATTATTTAGAATTTATTTCTCTCTTTCAAATGTTGGCCGCGTCTACGTCTCAAATGACTCATATGTTGAGTCCAATTTTCGATGACTCGTTCGAGCATTTCAACTGGAAACTGGCAAGTGACATGCATGATGTTTTGCTCCAAAGTCTAAATCGGAGCGAGATTGTCCGCATAGACTTTAGACTTTACATATCCTCACAGGAAAAATTCTAACGGCGAAATATCCAACGATCTTAATGCTCAATCGAACGGCCAAAAACGTGAAATTATCTGCTCACCGAAGTGTTCTCTCAATAAATCCATTGATTGATGAGATGTGTGGGAAGTGAAGGCGCGATAACAGTCGCCATTGACGGTTAAGTTCTCACAGGCATCATTTTTGAAGAAATATAGACCATGATTCCACCGACCCACAAACCACATCAAACCGTTGTTTTTTCTGGATTAAATGGCAGCTCTTGAACCTCTTCAGGCTGCTCTTCGTTCCAAATTCGTCAATTTTGCTTGTTTACATACCCATGTACCCGATGTGGCTTAGGAAGATCAAGCGGCCTCAGTTCTTGCACAAGCTGTATTTTGTACGCTTTCAATTTAAGGACTCGACACAAAATACGCCAAGTCGTTTCATACGTCAGTCCGAGTTGCAGCGCCGAATCTACTCTCCACGGTCTTCGTGTACACTCTCAGCTGCGGCCGCTATATTTCCTTCACTGCGTGCAGGAAGTGGTCTATTCGGTCGAATATTATCCAGTAATGATTGCTGAGTCTCAAGATGGGTGATGGTGGTGTTGAATAACACGCTCAGTAGGCCGATTATGTTGACCATAAGTTGAGCGAAGCGTGCGAAACACATTCTTTACGCGAATTTTCGTAATAAAATTGAACATGAATTTGTAAACGTTGTTCAGACGTAAGTCTTTCTATAATGAAATGCCAAACAATACAGAACAAAAGTAACATGACAACTTGACACGACTTAAACGTGTTCTGTCAAAAAAATACTATGGAAAAAAGTACCTCTACTTGGATCAGCCGTTATATACATATCTGTTTTCCAGGTCCCTGCTTCTACGACTATCTAAGAGGCTAGAAAGGAAAAGAGCATTGATAGGGTCATCTAAAAATTATTTTTACCTTTATGTAATAATCTGGCTCTAGAACTCATTGCAATTAAATGAAAGAAGTCGAATGTGTCTAAAATGGATTATCATACGCTGAATGTTTGGTAATACAAATGTTCTCACACCTAAATGCCATTTCTAACAGATGTATGGCAGACTCTCAGAACAAGCGAAATACGTATGAAGCATTGGTTCAAAGTAGTCTGATTGACAAACCGAAGCAACTGGGAAAGGACCGAGTAGCTCACACACGACAAATGGATCAGGATGAAAGATAAATAGAGTACAAACTGTAAGAGTAATGTCGTCATGGTAAAAACTTGGAGATCTATACTATCTTTTATCCATTAAATGTCTGTATCAGGTTCAGTTCCTTAGACTCGACCTAAGGGCGCACTGCTCATCACCAGCGCTGGTTTCTAGGAATGCAGAATAATCTTCGGGCTATAATAATTCTATCATATATATAGTCACAGCGTTTACGATAACTATAGCTATGGAGAAGATCATTGAAAACTGGGCTTAACACTATTAAAACATTACATTTTCGATATTTATAAAGCGAATAGCATTTATACAATGCAATCTTTATTAATAAGTATTACTTACTCATAAATACCACAATAATGGTTTAGACCCATATATGTTGAAATTATCTTTAAAATATTCACACGCATGTGGAAGGACTTGATATCGTTGGACTTAGCAGGTTAATGTCAATGCATGGACATGCAAATAGTTGAGTACTTAGGCATATAACATGAATGACAAAATGATACATTTATCACAAATGTCATTCATATTCCACCTACAACTTAGTATTCCACTCGAGTACTTTTGCGAATTCTTTTTCGCCGAAACTAATCATCTTCGATTGTTCCATACAAATATTCTGTCGCTTGAGATTGTCAATAATAAAGAGTTGTTTCTTGTAAGCGTTGAGTAGATCAGCACGTTGCTTCTTCAAACTTTTAATCTGTTTATCCTTGGTCTCGCCATCGACACGCATCGACTCTTTGAGTTCACGTTCGGCATTCTTTAGCAACGCCAATGCGCTCTTCGTATTCTCCAACTCTTCATTGGCACGATACAAACGCTTCTCGAGATTGGTGTTAGTTTGAGACAACATTTTCAGCTCACGACGAACTGTCTCGAGCTCCTTCTGTTGACCACCCTGTTCGATGTTACGCTCCTTCATACGCCTATTCACCTCCTCAAGTTGTGTCTCAGTCTTGCTCAATTGTTCGGCAATTGCATTGTGTTTGGCGAACGCCTGATCGCGTTGCTGTTCGATTTTCTTGTTGCGTTCCAATGTCTTTTCGAGCAGCTCCTTTTGTTGTGTCATCTCTTGTGAAATGCGTTCGTGATCCTCTTCAAGTATGGCTATTTTGGATTTGAGAAATCTGTGAAAATAAATAAAGGAAATCATAATAAGTTATTTGCGTAAACAGTTTGTGTAGACATCGTTGCATACTTAATGAGTCCATCGGGACTAATATGCTTTCGGCCAGTCTCAAGCGAACGCCGCGAGGAGTAACCATCGTCAATTTCCCCGCTGGCCTTCGCACGCATCGAGGCGCTCTCATCACGTATCAGCACCTCCAAAGAGGGACTCTGTACGAATTTCGGATTACGATATTTAACCGTGAAAGCCGACTCTTTGACCCTTGAACTGCAATTACTCGAACGTCCGTACGGACGTGTGCCACTTTCCGGACTCTTAATTTGCTTCCTATGCAATGTACTGCTCGTCCGATTGGTTTTCGGCGTCTCTGAGTGTGCTGTTAAAACATTATCACCATCCGGACGTATGCTGGGCGTATTTGATGTGGATGACTGTTGCGTCGATTTACGTGCTGTATGTGTACGATGTGTATTGTTACGTTCTGTGGGTAGATCGGGGAGCATATCGGAGGCACCATCGCCAGCTCCATTGGCACTTATTCCAACACTCGCCGTAGCATTATTGAAACGCTTTTTGAGCAAAGTGCTTGCTCCCTTAGACTTTGTATAGGTGAAATATCGTTGATCAGTCTTGTTAGTCGTTGACTTGGATGTGCCGCTATAAATGGCGCTCCCAGTGTTCGTACCAGCAGCACTACCGCTACTGCCGCTATTCCCCACACTATTACAATTGGGATGTTGATGCTGCAATTGTTTTTGATGCTGTTGTAATTGTTGATCCAATGATGTGACGTTTAGCTGGTCCAACTCTTGATTCAATTTAATGAATTCTTTTTCGCGCGATAGCAATTCGGCCATCGCCTCTTACAAAATTTTGACAGAAATTTTTTAACGAATACACAAAAGCGAAATTTTGCATTAAAATCAAAATTTTTAACATTTAATTTTTCATATGAGGCCAATTTTCAGTTTTGATTTTGACTTTTAGTTTTGAGTGATATAGCAAACGATTTAAATATAGAATTTGCTACCGCACTACAACACTCTTGGTCAGCTACTGGAGTTACAAAGTGCTTCTTGGCTCTAAATCCTTACGCCGCTCATACAAACTCGAAAAGGAAAAACTATTGGGACGTATGCGGGTAAAAGTCTCTGCCTAAAAATGAGGGTGGCGCAGTTGTTATTTATTATTTTGCACGGTGTTCTTGGTGATGGCGTGCATTGATTACACCGACTTGCTGCCACTGTCGCTATCGTTGCTACTTCAACTTTGACTGTTTTGGTTAACGGTGAGGGGGGTGATTTGTTTACATTTCGATTAGGTTGAGGGGTGCTTAAACTATGCGCTATTATTTTGGTAGTACGTAAATAAACTGAGTATGACAAATTGCATGCATATACATATATAATTATTTTGTGTTATTGGATTTCCAATTACATTTTTAGAATGCAGATATATGCATATGTATGTGTGTATATATGTATGTAAATACACATGTAAAAAAAATATTTGTATACATATACATTAAGGATATCTACTTTTCTTCCTCCATCAAAATGTTTTGGTAGATGCCATTGTTGTACAAGAAGCTTGAGATTTTAGCTTGAAACTTTGGGATCTTCATCTGAAATCTAAAATTATGGAACAAGTTATTTCTAATAGTGGCTGAATTTTCAATGTTAAGCCTTTTAACCGATTCTAACATCTCTTAAAGTTCATCAGACGTTCGAAGACGTCTTAAACTTCCATCAAATATTTTACTAAAGTGTAGATGTTTACTTGTTTTTCCCCATCTGTAATGTATTAACTTATTAAGCAATATTTCTCCCTTTAATTTAGTAATGCATGCTTGGATAAAGACATACATACTTGTACATATGTCGCTGCTTAATATTGTTATCATTCCATCTAATGGACAAGTGATTTGTAAGATATATTGTATATTTTGGAGTGAAAAAAGAAATTTGTGTGGTTAAGAATCTTTTGATTAAAAAGTGCCTGTGATACCAAAAAGTGACTTGATGTGTGTAATAACATCTGATCAAATAATCCCATTTTCTATACACTCGTTATAGGTGATAAGCCTATGCTGAGATGGCCTTCAGTGCTTTCAGCGGATGTTAGCTTTTCGGTTTCGACTCATTTTTCGATCGCCATTCGCTACATGGTTGGATAATTTCGACGTCATATTCATAAAACCACATCTCGTCATCAGTATTGATATGTCTAATGAGTTTAGGGTCCTCAGCTACTTTGTTAAGCATCTCTTTTGCGACCTCTACTCGACTCGACTTTTTGCCTAATATTCAGGTCTTTTGGTACGAGTCCAGCATTGAATCGCTTCATACCCAAAACATTAACCAAAGTGTGAGTGTTGAGTGCATACATAAGAGATGTTGAGATCCTTTGCTATCAATCTGATGCCAACATGACGATTTTAAAGCACTGTTTCTTTAACTTTTTCGATGTTATCGTCATTAACAGAGGTGTGTGAGGACGGCCCGCATGAGGCAAATTTTGATGATTTCACGACCTCGACTGAATACTTTCTGCCACTCAAATACTTGTATTTGTCGACTCCTCAAAGCACGTCTACAATATTTTTAACGATTCCCTAAGTGGAACTTCATTGGTTTTGGAAAGTTGGAAGATCGTTACAATCGGTCTAGAGTTCTTGATATGTGTCAAGTTCAATAATTCAGTCGAATTTTACCAAAACAAGTATTTTTATGTAAAACGATTCTAACGTTTCCTACAATAAATAATGTCAGAACATCGTAAGATGAGATTCCTACTCCATCCCAGGTACTACTTACATATTTACGAGAGTAGTACCACATTGGATTTCGAGACTGAAATCATTATTTTGGAAAGTAATTCTGGTTACAAGATAATCGCAATCGTCTACAACCAGAGATATTTACGTACATCGTATTCGCTGTTATCTTAAACAAAATACAAGTCTGTATCCTGCCAACCTTGGTTGAAGCTCACAGATGTGACAATGTGTATGTTATGTGCATGTGAGTATTCAATTAATTTCCAATCAAAGTAACCAGAGTTTGACAACACTGAAGTTCCTTAGGGAATTCATACAATAATTAAAAACGAATACAATACAATTATGAACTGATAAGGCTATGAAAATATGGATGTAAGGACAAGAAATCCTCGATGTGCTGGGTCACCACTAAATCGTATAAAAGCGCTAATAGTGCCAGCAATCGACATCAGTTGCATTCGAGCATCACAGCAAGCAAGCTAAAAGCAAACACATCACTGCCAAAAGCACAAAAAAGCTCCTAAACGATCGCCACTACATCTACTATAACATATAAAATGCGTTCATTCAGCACCGTCTGTTTCGTAGCCTTGATCTTGGCCGTCTGCATGTGCAGCTTCGGCGAGGCGGCCTACAGGAAGCCACCATTCAATGGCAGCATCTTTGGCAAACGCAACTCCTTGGGTAAGTAATGCTTTTCTGAATCTAAATTATTATCAGACTATCTAATTTTGCCTCGTCTACTCCTTTTCAGAATATGATAATGCCAAAGCTGTCACTGCAATGTGCGAAATTGCATTGGAGGCGTGTCAATCATGGTTTCCACAAGGCGAAAGCAAATAAGCCAATTCCAGGGCGACGGAACGATAGCTATAAATGAAGCACCGGAAAACTAACGATATTCTATACTTATCTATAAATAACTAAAATATTGTAAACGCGGCTTAATATTATATATTTATATGTATATGTGTACAGAAAAATTAAATAATTTACATACAAACATATATGTATATCAACAATAAGGTTATAAAAGTACTATTTATTCAATAAAGCAAATGCTCAGTAAAGCAAAAACAAAATTTCAGTAAATGGTAAATTTTATTCATATAATTTTTAACATTAGCATTGACTACCAGAGTAAACGCTATGTATTAAGAAAGTGTATTTATTAATTTCTTATTTTACCTCGGCAGTAATTTCAGCCGTATCACTGGACTTAGAGGCCCACTAAATTTTAGTTGACGAATAACCCCACCTCATATGTAGATTAAAACTTATTTGCAAATGCAAATGTCTCTATATCTTTATCTCGGATATAATGAAATTTCTAACAGAGCCTAGTGAACTGGTTTTAAAAACGATTAGGTGTACTAACTGATCAAATTTGACCCGAACTAACAAAAAATTTTTTCACGTATTTTAATACAAATCTTTACTATCGACTCGACTTTCAAATAGACTCCTGAGTCATAAACTCACGACTCGTCACCAGTAATGGTGCGTTTGATGAATGTAGGGTCATCAGCTACGCGTCATGCATCCCTTTTGCGACCTCTTCTTGACGCCATTTTTGTAAAAGACTCAGTTCCTTTGATATAAGTCTAGCATTGACACGCTTTATAAACAAAATATTTACCAAAATGATTGAGTCGTTCCATAAGAGATATAGAGATTCTCTGCTATCTGTCTGATGCCAACACGATGATTTTCAGACACTGTTTTTTAACCTTTTCGATGTTATCGTCATTAACAAAGATGAATGGACGAGCTGAGAGAAGAGTTTTCAATGACTTTCCGACCTTCATTGAATGTTTGGTGCCAGACAAATATTTGTGTTTGTAATAGAGGAGACTGCCCAAAACACTTTTGTAAAATTTTTAACGATTCCGTAGCCGTAATTCCATTGTAAACACAAAATTTGAATTGAACACTTTGTGTTTCAAGTAAATTCCTTGTTCAATTTTTCTCCTATGGTAAAAATCGGCAAAGACAAACTTTTCGTGTCATGAACAAATAGCTGTTCACACGAACGTAAAAAAAGGTTGGGCCCAATTAGGAAAAAACATTTTATGAATTCGGTTTTTACGAGCAGTCTAAATTGACTAGTCCGAGTCAAATTTTTATCTGGCTGTCCAATCTTGGCTATCATATCGTTATTAAATATAGCAATCTTCGATTCTCAAAATTTTGTAACCTCTTTGCAACTGGTACATATAAATGTAATAGACTAATATGATCAGCTAAACAGTAAATTATGTAAGCTGTTTATACCACTTAATAATATATCTAAATAAACTCTCGTCTTGAGTTCAACTCGATAACTTTGTTGTGGCTTTTACATGTAATTTTTTTGACAAGAAAGCAGAAGCGAGCAGAGAAATTACGAATCGAAAACAGCTAATATAAGCTTTTTGGTGTATATTACAACGGGCTGTAGTAAATAGCAATCGGGGCTTCACTCGGATAAAAAAAAATCAAACCTAACGAAACTTCATTGTGATTCGACAGCGCCACTAAATTTCCAACGACGATCGGGTCTACGGACGCGAATTCGTCCAAGGACTGTAAACAGCATTCTTCAGGACAGCATTCCGCCAAATTACTTCAAGTATGTTTACGGCTACTACTACAACATAATAATCGAATATTCCTAACTGAAATGGATCGAATTTCAAGTTGTTCCGTAATTGATTCAACGAAATCATTTTGGTAGCATTTTCAATCAGATATTTTTATATATATACATATATTTATTTCCATTAATACATAAAACATACACACTTACATATATTAACCAATAATAAAACAGCCATATTAATTAGCATCAGAAATTGATCATTCATCAGTCCTTTTGATTTTGATTATTGTTTTATATTTGTTACATTATATTTATTGATTACAAACTGTATATTATCACTTAATATGTTAGGAAATATTGAAAAACGATGAATTTTTACATGCCACACAGACACAAAATGCCGAGAAAAACACAGTTATTTCAACGAAATGATGTTTTATATGAAAATAGAGAAGCTTGGAAAATTTGCTTTAACCTAACTATGTAAATATATATGTACGGATGTGAGCGTACAAAATTTCACTTTTTTCTTATATGACGGACCTAATCGTTTAAAAAAATATTCCACTTTTCAATTTTAAAATAAATAGTTAGCAAAGCTTTGGGCAAGCATTTACATTTTTTTTTTTTTTAATTATTTGAAACATGCTCAATTTCCATTAGTAACAGTTAATTTGTAAAAATATTACAATAATAAAGATCTATGTCAGTTCTATAATTTTCCTATTTTTTAGATTTTTGTAAACAACTTTTAAGTATTATATTGGTTTTAGCATGTGGTTTTTTTTTTGTTTTTGTTGGTATAAATGAAGATGTTTGTGCACTATATTGTAAAAATAATACGTTCCACACACACATAATGGAAAAGCTACAAAAACTTATTTACTATTAGATAATACCCGCTTTTGTTAGCAGCTACATACCGACCCTATTCAAAGTCGACTATTTTCTAGACATACGTTTACGTTTTGTGCGTAATTCAGCTACATATTTACGTAAATATTTCATATAGTCATTCATGAAAGTGGTGTAGGCCTGCAAGGAAAAAAAGAAGAGATACATATTTTAACATAAGAGTGCAGATAAATAATAGTTAAAAGGTTTAGAAGACTTACAGTGTCTAAAACATAACGTGGTATGTAACCCTTTAAGTCCAAACAAAAAATCCAGTCGAATATGCAGGCATCCGATTTACCAGCAATCTCGTGAAGTGCAAATCCGGCCACAATATTTTCACCACTTTGGCAGAACAAAAATGAAGAGTGAAAAAAATATAAAATTGAATTGTAATTTACGAAATATAATTTATATTGCAGTTTTAAGAAGCGCGTGAAGCTTTTTAGTAAAAATTATCTTACTCACCGTATATACTTAGTTGTGGGCGGCACCGGCGCATAATCAATACTAATGGCCGCACTTAAATATACTTTATTTTTGCCCTTCGCCCCCAGCGCACCGCTTACGGCCGCACCATCTCCAGTATCAGCGCTTTCCTGTTGTGCAGTTTGCATTTCCGCACGTGCCTCTTTCTGCACGAGACGCGTTAAATCATCAACATTATCATGCGCATCCTCGAATGTGTCCTCTTCGAATGGTGGCGGCTCATCAGGATCAATACGCACAATTGTACTAAATTCTTTTGCACCCAAACTTTTGCTTAATGTTTTAAATGCGGGTCCACCATGTCCACCCTTTACGCTACCACTGCGATTTTCTTCATCGCCACCAGCGCCGCTACCGCTTTCACGCATACCCTTTACACTGCTGCTGCTGGAGAATTTCGCACGATTGCTTTCGACACTGCTGGGTTGTGTGGTCGTTACAGAGTCATCATCCGAGACAGTGGAAACACTAGCCGGACCAGCAGTATCACTGCCACTATCAGCTTCATCGTCATCAGATTCTTCACACATTTTACCATTACGAAAAAGTCGCCAACAACGCAGATTAATGAAATCGCGACTCTTCACGATGCCACCGCCACCGCCAACACTGGCTTGGTATGTAATATCTGTATACGAGTTGATTTTCTGCAAAAAAAAGAAGAACAAATTATTGATATGCTTGTATATACGGATTATGTATACGAGTATAATATAGAAATACACTTACATGCACAATTTTCGATTCGAGTAAAGTCGGGTTCCACTTGGGCACACTTTCAATTCGGTAGAAAAGTTCTTCCAGCAATGCCTTGGGTGGATACTTGATACGTCCCTTAATAAAGTATTCAAATTATTAAAATTTTGTAAATGAATTAATATGTACATAAATCAATTACTGGATTAAAAGAAAATTTAATCCCAATATCCCTTATAATTACAAACAAAAAATGTTTTTTAATAAAATATAAACTTAGTTTAGCCCTTTTTATCTAATTTATATTTAATAATAATGTTTTCGTTAAAACTATTTAAATCTTTCATTTTTGTCCCTTTTCATTCCATATTTTAATTTAAAAGTTATTTTTTAATATTTACTCCAATTTTTAACTAAGAAAAAAAAATTTTTCTCCAATTGTTTTGAAAATTTAAAAATTGTATTCAAAATTTTCAAATTTCAAAATTGAAGTAAAAATAGAAAATCTAATTTTTTATCCAAATTTTATGAATTCAAATATACGCAACCCTCATTGCTACGTAATACATCTTAAACTATGCAAAATTGTTGTAACAACTTACTGTAAGTCGGTAAATTTTTCCCAGCTTCTCACGTTGCGTACTTCGTATAGTATCACCTTTGCTCGTCACCTTTTCCACTTTCCAATCGGGCGATTCGAAAAGTTCGTACGCTCTACGCACACAATCCAAAGCCATTTGGTGATATTCTTCATCCTGTATGAGAAAATTTGTATTTATTATATTATTATACTACTACTGTAGATATAGTGTGTTAACCGTTTGCATGTTAACAGAGTTGTGAGAAAATTGTCGTTTTATGACTTCAATGCCAAAGCCACAGACAACATTTGGTGTGGGTTTAAAAAGAAACTTCATTTTATATGTAATTGAAAATGCAAATGTTTGAATGTTTTCTGCTTCACAACTTCAATTCAAATTATATATTTGAATAACCCTAATTTAAAATGCAACTGAATGTTGATGCCTGCCTTTGGTGATTTATGGTCGCTTACTGATTAGTTGGAATAAATCAGAGCATTTTGCTATTCAAAGAAGTAGAATTATACAAGCGAAAAGAGAACGATATGTACGATGTACGTATATACAAGCTGTTCGCGAATCCGACAGGCAAAACAAAGAGCTAATTGATGCCGTTATCACAGTCAACATCAATGTTGGTATTGACCTTGAGGCAACTAAACTATCAAGTAGTTTCATAGTGAATTCAATAATTTTACATAAAAAATATAAATATAAAGCAAGACAAAACTTTAACTTCGGCTGCACCGAAGTTACAATATCCTTCACAAATAAAAATGTTTCCATACAAAAACTTGATTTTAATTGTTCAGTTTGTATGGCAGCAAAAGGCTATATTGATCCGATCTAAAAAAAAAAATTATTCGAAGTTTGTAGCGCTGTCTTGGACAATATTTTATGTCAAGTGCGTGAAGATATCTTACCAAATAAAAAATTTTCCGTACAATAACTTGATTTTGTTCGGTCAGCTTGTATGGCAGCTATATGCTATAGTGGTCTGATATCGGCGATTCCGACAAATGAGCAGCTTCTTGGGGAGAATAGCACGTGTGGAAAATTTCAGAACGATAACTCAAAAACTGAGTTACTAGTTCGCGTATATACAGATGGACAGACAGGAGTGGCTAAACTGACTCAGCTCGTCAAACTGATCATTTACATATATACTTTAAAGGGTTACAACTTCGTGGCAAACTTAATATACCCTGTTCAAGGTATAAATATACATCACTCACACAAATACACACCTGTTCATCGTCATCGTCATCGCTGTTGTGCACTGTCTCTAGTGGTGAATAAAAAATACTCTCCGGAACATTACGATCCGGTTGGGAAGCCAAAAATGTTGCCATCATTGGCGAACGCTGTTCTGGAGTTGTTATTGCTGCAGCAAAACAAAATGACAATTATATAATAATATGTACAACAAATATGTATTTTAACACTTACAGGAAAAATAGCTACGCGCGTGGCGCTCCTGTGGTATAACGCGACAATCCAGAAACCAAGCCTCTCCCCAAGCCAACACAAATGATGTTATAATCAGTATTACCTCGAAAACCTGTTGGCGCGAATCAACCCACTGCAAAAGTGTACATGTGTGTAAGTATTTTATATATATTTATTTAATTAATTGCTGCGAACAAATATATAATTCGTAAATATTGAATATTTGACTTACATCGTAAACGAAGACTTTGGAGATTAAAAATAGGCATGAACCGCTCGTAGATAACTGCAATATACAAGTGAAATAAGTTAAAAGTTTAATAAATTATGGAAAATATCTCAGCGATATACTCTTTATGATGTGCATATACACTTGTATGTATGTATGGTTGTATGTATTTCGTTTCTTTAGTGCATTTATATGCTGATAAATGTTAAATATTACACATATGTATGTATGTATGTATGACGTTCATAGGGTGATCAAGAAAACCCACTTTATTATGTATGTACATATTTTATAGAGTGCATGAAATTTTGTTACGCTCGCCGTAAATAGTCCTAAGACTAAGAGCTCCTAATATTTGATATTCAGATGCTATTTAAAAAAGAAAACACAAGAAAAAATGTAAACTTCGGTTGCACCAAAGCTATAATACCTTTCACAGAGACATTTCTAATAGATAAAAGGGTATAAAACGATCTTTATATTGATTTTGATCGTTAAGTTTGTGTGACAGCTATATGCTATAGTGGTCCGATATCGGCGGTTCCGGCAAATGAACAGCGCCGTGGGTGGAAAAGTACGTGTGATATTTTTGAGATCGAAATCTCCAAAACTGAGAGACTAGTTCGCGTGTATACAGACGAAAAGACTGACAGACAGACGAGCATGGCTAAACCGGCTCCGCTCGTCACGCTCTACATGTATATATATTTTTATATGGTCTCTGACGTTTCCTTCTGGGTGTTACAAACTTCGTGACAAACCTCATATACCCTGCTGAGGATATAATAAAAAAATTCTTTAACTACTTCTTTCTTTTTGTGAAGTTTGCGGTTTACTGTAAACCTTACAAAGTACAAAGTAGTTCTTTGAATATAATTTTCTGTGCGCTTAGCTACACAATCAATTTTCCTGACGTGGTAACAAAATTCAAATGAATTCATATGAAAAAGTTAATAATAAAATATTTATGAAAATACAATAATATACATATGTACATACATTTAATGTTATACATATGAATAATGTGAGGTTTACTCACGGCAATTATAATCCAATGGTTTATGTACATTAACGCATAGAAAAATGTAAGAACTACAAAACGACATATGGCGGCTCCGACTACATCGAATAGCGATGTGCCAAACGTGTAATGGACGATTTGTTTCTGAAATGCTTGAAATATATTGTCGCCATTGATCTGAAATAGAACGCATGAATATTAATGATTATTTATCTTCTTAATTTCTAATAAACCATCTTACCATTATGCAAATTAACCAGAGTAGCGATACAAAAAACAAGTCGAACAGCACGAAGAGACAAAAAAACCTACGTACCACGGACATGCGTCCATCCTGCATATAACCGCCGAGAAATTCTTCGGTGATCAAATTGATGGAATGTGTACGTGCTGTAAATAAATCAACTTCAATATATTTTTTTAATTATTGGCAAAGAATATTGATATTAGAGTGTGCCATTGATCGTAAACCCCAAAAATTATAATTGATATTTTTTTTGAATTCAATATGAGGAAATAATAATTTTATAGTTTGTTTTAAATTGAGTTTGATGTGCTATAATTTTAAATTTTGACAACCCTTAAACATAACCCAAGACGCTTAAAATAAACATTTTTCAACTACTTACACATATCATAGTTGGGGGACATTGGCCCACTCATTGTGCTGCGATAGGACATGGGGTGTCTAGAGCTTGTTATCAGCAATTCAGCAGCTGATCGTATTTCATCGGCATCACTTACTGACATAATCTACATTTACTAGTGCTTATATAGCCGTAAGTGGTTTTCAATATGAATTGGGTATGTAAAAAAATAAAAACTAAAGTAATTTTCGATACATACTCCACTGTTTCTAAAAATAAAAATTTAAGCAATTATAAGATGCAATATAAGTTATTTTATATATTTTAACACAGTTTGGCATAGTTCAATTTTTTTAAGGCCATGCAACCGTTTTATTTAAATTTAAAAAAGTATGTGAACAAATACAAATCTGCTTTACGGACGAAGTTGTGTGGTGTCAATTTCGTTTTATACATACGTAAACGTTTCCAAAGTATATCACTATCATATTTTATGAAAATATAAACAATCATAACAAATTGAATGTAGCTAAGTACTCTAAAGCAATGTTAAGCATTTAATAACAATGTTGTACATTTCTGCTCAATGTATTTCTTTTATTTTATTTTCTTTTTCTGTATTAACACTGATAAGCATTATTTCACTATATTTTGCCACCGACACATACATATGTATGTATGTACACATATCTTACTCGATGACGTAGTAGGAAACTGACTCATTTTTTTTTTTGTTCAGTGTGGTATAGTAGGTCAATAAGATGGTTCAAAGTAATACAAAAGGCTACTCGTATTTCTCTCTAATGTATATTAATTAATTACTGTTTATACAAATGTAACTTTAGAAATTCGACACCATAGTATGTGTACAAACATATGCACTGTTGTGGAAAAATAAACATACAGAACAATCTCAGTGACATTGCATTTGTATATATTATGAAAACCAGTTTGCCTACCGCCAATTTATCTGGTTAGAACTGCAGATATTTTAGGATTAATATAATTTAACTTCTGTTCTTTATTTATTATCAATAAATACTCATATCTGCATATATTTCACACGATAACTTTCAACTTCAACCACACCAAATAAATTAATACCAACAAAGAAAAATCACAAATGTCAAAATTCTAGTTTTCGCCAATTCTCGTTTTCGCAAATTCTCTCCAAATGTCTACAAGGCATGTTCAGTGAAAGCCAGAAAAGTCACTGAAATGCAATTTTAAGTTGCATTTTTTTTATTTATCTTCTTTTTTAACCCTTATAACTATATTTAAGAATATTTATTTATAACTTATATAGACTTGTTTAAGTTTTCCATTACATACACAATTAATATTTAAGTTATTAATTGCTGGACATCAGTTTAAAATTTCCCTATTATCACTACTACTACATAAAACTACTTTTTTAAACTTATTGTGCTGCGCATTATTTTTTATTTAAATGCATTTATAATAAATACTTTTGAATAGTTATGCAGCTTACTAAGCATAGCTAAGAGCTCGCTTCCAGTTGAAGAAAACTTTCATTATTGGTCTCATCGAGAAAGAGTAATTTGAAAATATCATTAAAGAAATCTGGATAGTAATCACATGCACGTTTACAATCCGGTGTCCAGTTGATCTCCAACAATTTGGGTGTCATTTGACTTGTTTTATTGTCTTCTGATTTTACCCACTCAAGCATTATGTCGGCGGCATACAATGCACGAGATTGCTGGCAAGGTGGTATACCACAGGGGGGCGGACGCTTAGATGCACAACTTAGTATCTCATGTAACATCAAACATATGTCCTTTTGAATTGATGACCAATCATGTCTGGGATACTGCTCCTTCCAATAACCCAAGAACTCCTCACATTTTATGTGTCGTAATTCTGCCTCCTCATGATAGTTCATTACAGTGAAGTGTTGCTCGTAGTCATCGAAGTTATTTAGACTAAATGACTTATTAGCAAATCGTAGAAAGAATTTTCTATGTATGTAAGCTTCTAGTGGTTGAAAACTCTTAACCAATATCACATATCGTATATCAAATTTGACCTTTAAAAAATGTGGACGTTAATAGTTTTATAAACAATTTATTTGAAGTTTTATACAATAAAATTTTACCTCAGCGTCTAGTTCATTACGTTTAAATAATACCGGCCGTTCGATATATTTCTGGGCGACTTTCGGTCCAGTTATCGGCAGTCGCATAATTTGTACAATACTGTCCGTTATGTGGGTGTCCATTCCACGCGCTAAATTCCATGGTTTCACAATCCAGTGATTGTCAAGACCTTTTGCAACACGATGCTGATAATATGATGCAAATTGTAGCAATTCCGTCTTTAAGTTAAATGTGGTTGGCAGCCAGCGAGGATATGTTTCCAATGTAGATGGATTGTGATGTTCCTGTGCTGCACGCCTCCCAGTAATTGCCAGTAAATCTTTGATTGTCAGAACATATTCATAGGGGAATTGATTTATAAACTTGTTCGGCGTATTAAGGGCTAATTCAGCAAATTCCTTATAGTGATGTGTTAACCAAAGAACATCAGCTTCCGATTGGTTGCCAACTAATTGAAAACAAGGATCTGTGAGATGTGTGCTTACCACATCATATTCACTATAAACCTTTAGTGGTTGATTACGATTTACTTGAGGTTTCAATTGAGCAGTGTCTCCTTCAGGGAACGTTTCTGGTATATGACCCGTGGTAAAGTACTCTGAATCAGGTTCTACTTGCATAAATGAATATTCACGTAGATCAGTAGCACGCCATGGCAATAATAGAGCTTCCCGTTCTGCATGATCCCTGCACACGTATTCTAAAAAATCACGCGTTACATATTCTTCATAATCACAATCACGTATGGGAAAAAGTAGGCTATATGTTGTTTGGTTATTTAGATATAGAAACGGAACCACACGAAAATTAGGATCATCCCTGTGGCTTACGGCGGAACCAACTTCATCCATCACATACCAAATAGGAAGTCTTTCTTCATCAGGTAGATCATTACTGGCAATAGTGTATGAAAGACAATAACGCCACATTTTAACCAAGATTTGATCAATACGATCTTCAACATCAATATCGACACCCATTATGGCACACATACGATCAGTTAACTGTTCATGTTGGGATAGTTGCTGTCTAGCCATATTCAAGCGGAATGTCCACGCGTGATCAATGAGATATATAGCATCTGGATCGGAGGCCTTAATTCCACCTTCACGCGCTAACGTAAGAGCAAACATTGGACGTGGTTCCTCAGCGACTGGCCTTCTTGTGTTGTTTGCACTAACAACTGCTGTTTCTGAGCCATTCTCTTCATCACCTTCGTAATCAATCAACAATAATTGTAGCGATAAGCCGGCGTCAAAAATTTCCTTTGACAATTTACGATGCAACGATTTCCAAAAATGCTGTGGTACACCAGACGATTCCAATTGCGGTTTGTGTTGGGCCACGAATTGTGTGAACAAATTAACTCCATCCATTTGTATTAACAATAATATAGAATATAATAGTAAGCAGTAGTACTTGAATTTCACTGACCGACGACCAGTGTGGTGTGTTCTTATCAAAACAAATGTTTGAGGTTATATTAAGGTTACCAGCCATTTTTTCTCTAAAGTTGATGAACTAAATACATTTGCCCAATTTCTTTTTGGAAAAGTTATTGTTTGTGAATGTTAATTTAAATGTTTACGGTAAAGAATATCCACAAGAACGTAAAAACACAATAAATAAAAAAATATATACATCGTAAATAATATGGCAAAAATAACTGAATAAAAAAACATTAACTTCAGTTGCACTGCAGCTATAATAATACTTTTCACAAATAAAAAAGTTTTCCATATGAGAACTTGATTTTAATCGGCTTGTAAGACAGCTATTATATAATACAGTGGTCCGAACTGAACGATTTTTTCAGAGATTACACCGTTGCCGTTGACAATAATCCGTTCCAGATTTCATGAAGATACCCGTCATAGAAAAAAAATTCATACAAGGACTTCATGGTAAATCACCTCCTCGCAAGCTGCTCCTCTTTTAAACCTTCAACTAAATACATTTGCATAAATCAAATACTTAAGTTCTGAAAACTTTTATTATTAAAATTACATTTATGTATATTTTTTTCATATTTATTATTATATGTAATATACTACGATTTAAATTATAAAAAGAGAACAAGTTTTTGTTTCGCCAACCATCGCGTTCCTTCGAATTATATTAACTCATTTAACACTAAAAATAACTACGCATAAGCATCTTCTTACTTCCCCCCACTTACTTCACATTCAAAATGTTAAAAAATATCTTTTTTTCGCAAATTTTCTAGCATGTCGTTTGTATAATTACAACTTCTCTGTACTGCACTAAACTTAGATTAGAAGAGAAGCGAATAGCAACAGGTGTATACATGTGTCTATCTGGGAACATACATAAGAAATTACTTAATTTTAATAGATATTTATATTAAACACAGTTGCACAGTTATGCAAAAAGTTATAAAAGAAAACAGATATATGTATGTAATTCAATTATTTATACGCCGAACGGCCACTGTTTCTTGGGGTCTAACTTTCGCTCCTTTTTACTGCATATTCGTATATTGTATAAATCAGGCCTTACTCACAGATCTAAACTAAGCTAGAGCATAGAACTTTGTTTCACAGCTAGCTCGATTGAAAATTGTCGTTATTGTTGAATTCATTTAGGCCGGGGATGCTTCCTTTATACGTAAATAAAGAGGTTGGAACTGTTCGTAAAGCAAAATATGATGTGTGTAACCCCTCATGTTGATGCTTTGATTTGTTTTCAATTTCAAATGATGTAGAGTTTACTCGTAAAAGGGGTATCATGGAAAATGGGCGTGCTTCTGAACGTGTCCAACTGTTGTAAGTAGCCTTATAAATTATAATTTATGCAACGTAATTATATTGATTTTGATTATCTTTATCGCGCTCCATGTAATCGCGATCTATAAGTGATTCAATTCGTTTCTTCAAATCAGCAGGCTAAAGAGATTTAAGCGAATAAAGAGTTATTGAAAATTGATCATAAACAAATAGTTATCAATAGTGTTTTACTTGAAAGTTTGCTTATTACCTTAACGGGAAACGTAAGTTGATTGAAAAGTTCACCGATTAGTAAGTTATGACTGAGCGTTTTACGCATTTTCATTATCCTCACAATGGCTGCATCAATTTGGTACTGTCGATCTTGGAATACACGCTCCTCTGTAGCTTTTTGCTCCTCCGTCTAAAATTAAAAATAGCAATAAATAACATTATCATTGTTTTTTTTTTATCAAACAATCTGCAACATACCGTTTCTTTCATTTGAATTTGATTAATTTTGATACGGAACAGTTTATTTGTAAATTCGTTATTATATTGAAACAAATCTTTATTCTCAACCTCACGACCCTTTGGTGTTTTTGTAATAACACGAGCTCGTCCGCAGGCTAACGATTGTAATGTTCTGCGTAGCTCGCCATCCTATAAAGAAATATATATATATTTTAGCTTCCATTATACGTAATCTAACTTTGTAAGTGTTACCTCAATATTTGTAGCAGCAACAATTTCTTCGAAACTTAATGCGTTTTTGTCGTTAAACAGTAAAAGCACCAGCCCTTGAAACAAAGAAACCAGCAACTCTTTAGGTCCCTTTTTAAACAAAAATAGAGGAAAGTAATTATTGTTATATATTTAATAAAGCATCGCATACCGCATCAAACTGAGCTTTGAGCACACAATTGCCTAGTGTTGGCTGCCATTGCAGCTTTCTACCACTGTGTTTAGCCAAGTAAAATTTATTGAAAACTTGTTGCGGCTTCACAAGTTGTGGGGGCATAGTGACTTCTGTTAGCGGGTATGTAGGCCAATAGCCCATGGTAAGAATATTGACAGTCAAATCCATACTTGTTATTTCACGATCCATATTTGCGACATATTGCTTGAAAGCAATATTAATATCTCGGCTCAGTTCCATATCCTTGAACATGCCTTCCAATTTTGAAGTGAATCCACCACCACACTCTTGCTTCAATTTGGACAACATACTCTTTTCCGCATCCACCGAGGCAGACTTTCCCACAAGTAAGCGTTTGGCCAAATCCTAAAAATTATATTAGTAAAATAAAAAATCTGTAAGCCTTTTTAGTTGTCATTATTTACCTTCTTATAAAATGCTTCGAATACATCTTTGCCGTGAATAAATCGAAATAGCACCATGATTTTATCAAGTATCTGTTCCAACTCTTCTTCGGTGGCTTCCTTATTTCCAGCACGCAGCTTCATATCCACATACTTGGCTAATATTAGTAGCATTAAATACCAACAATATTATTACTTGGAAGAAATTATCGCTCTCAAATATACCTATTAATTCTGCTGGTTTATTGGCGCGCTGATTTATGAAGAACTCAAAAGCTTCTCGCAAGGAATTCGTGAATTTTTCATTGTGTTCAAAGCAATTGCGCACAATCACATCCATTTTGTCTTTAAAGTCCAATAAATCCTGCACCATACTTTTATCCTTTTCTGGATCGATGACAATAGTGCGCCCTTTTTTCTACAAAAACCAATTATAAGAATAATGGACAATTATAAATGTTTCAAGTTCTACCTTAATAAAACCATTGAAGTTGCCACACAGTTCGGCGGTACCGTTTTTGACTCGGCTTAAAAGGCTGTACAAGAGCGTGAGATCACTCAGTCTATTCTCCTCCAGCAGTGTGTCCAGACCTTTTTGTAAGATGTGTGTAAGGTGTTCAGCGAGTAACTCTTTTTCTACAGTATAAATCAATGGGTATCTGAAATTTTTGTAATAACAAATCAAGCTTAACATTTTAAAATTAAAATCAAACAATTTACTTAGTACTAGAGTCTAAATAGTGCAAAAGACGTTCGTTTTCCTCAGCCAATCGTTTGTCGACGTGGCGCAGATATTCGGGCACATCAAGTTCTTGCATTTTACGTTGTCCTTCGGCCTGGTATAATTGTTTTGTTGCAATCAGGAATTTATCTTCGAACGCACTAATATAAATTTGTAAATCACATAACATTCGAACTAGGCTCTTGAGCAATCCCCTATCTACCGCATCACCTGTTCGTTCTTTTTCGATTAACATAAGTATACCTTCCACCGTACGTTTTTGCACTTGATCGTTCATGGCTATATGAGTACGAAAAAGATCCAGACCCATGTCCCTATTGGTTAGAAAAGAAAAGAAATTATAAATATCTAATCATTCCATTTGATTTTGCTACTCACCAAATTGAATGTACGGTAGGATTTTGTAAAACATACGTCCGATCCAAATATAAAAATATACTGCGCATCATTATCATTTGCTGACAAAACGAAAGCCACCAACCATTTATCTTTTTTAAAAATACCTAAAAAAGACAAAATGTTAGATAAAATATTATTAACAATAAAATTGCATATTTACCAATTTGTCCATGCTTCCCCCTGTAAAGGATTCGACATTACGTTTCACATGAGCTTCAGTAAGTTCTCTAAGTTTTCCATATAATTGCGCATCCATCCTATGGCTGCACATATTTTCTACAGCTTGATAAAGTTCTTCCAATGAGTACCTGATTGGCTTTGATTGTTGAATTGCGACAACTGCTTCCTGCAATTTTTCACATGTATGTTCCGAATAATTGTCCGGCAGTGTAGGTTTCACTATGTATATTAAAAAAAAAAAAGTAATTGTTGTTATTTATGAGCATCGAAATAATTTTTGTTTTCCTCAACTTACCCTTGAAGTTTTTTATTACAATTTTTTTAACATCTCCCGGTTTCGAGGCATTATTTGCGCCCATCTTATTGAAGTACGCTGAGGTAGTTGTGGCTGAACGGTGATCGTTCATATGTCCCCCATCTAACATCGAAAAATTGGCACGTCTTTCACCATTGGTATTGTTACCGATGCCATAATTGCTATTACTATTGTTCATGTTGAACGGTAGTTGTGAAGTTGACGTTGCTGAAGGTTGATTCAAATTTTGTCCCAAAGCACAACGAGCCGATGTGGAGGGGCTATAAAAATGGCTGTCTCCTTGTTTTCTTAAACGATTGCTTGTGTAATTCTCAGTATCCTGCAATTGGTCATTTGTGTCCATAAGTTTGTATTTTTTAGCGGCGCTCATAATTCGCTCTCCGCACTGCACCAGCGGCGCTAATGGTGACGGCGGTATTTACAGCCCTACTATAACTATTTGCTTTATTCAAGAAGGTATCACCACTTTAAATACAAGTAAAATACAGCTCTGGACAAAAAAAAAACCTGGAAAGATCAGTATAGATTATAAATAAACAAACAGCATTTATCAAATGTGATAAAAACAATTTTTACATCATATCGAAACGCTGTAAAATTGCCTGGGTTACAAATAATTTTATTTCATTTGCTTCCGCATTGACGAATTTTTCTTACCTTCGATATAACTTTACGCTTCTACTACTACTCTGACGTTCGCAAACGCAAACGGAACGGTGGTGCTTCAGCTGGATGCCTGATTGCCGTCGTATGTCATACGGACTACCACCCTAACAGTTTTTTCATATGAAAAACGTGCTGCTAAATTTTATAATACCGCACACAATACTGTAAACACACTTCAAAATCTTTCAAATTAATTTAAACCAGATGCAAAACATTATTATTTTTATTATAACGCCGAAAATCCAATTGCAAAATATGTCTTTATTTTCTTTCAGTCACTACCGCTGCTACTGCTACTGCTGCTTTTGATGTCGATGCTATCGCTGCCAGACCAACAAAACTAAGCACAATATCACATAATAAGCATGCAAATAGAAGGTAATTTGAAAAGGCGTACTACTACTACTTACTGTACTATTTTACAGTATTCTTAAAATATTTTATTCTTTTCTGGTCAGAATGATTAATTTAAGTTCATATTGGAAAAATTTATTATTCTAACTGTATGGCAGCAAAGAGCTATTATGCCAAGAGCGGCGCGGCATTGGTGCTTCTTCTTCTTAGCTGCAAATATCTTTCAGCTGACGTTCTTTAGTAGTGCTGATAAACGTTTTTTTTCTTTTTGATCCAAATTATGGCATGCTGTATATTTATCAAAATATATATATTAATGATTTTAGTCATTTAACTTAGTTCTCATCTATCGAATCTCATAACGTTTTTAATTTGTTACGGAAAAAATTAAACCAAAACTCACATAAACATAAAACACATTTCAAGCGAACGTTAAAGAAATATTAACAAAAATTATTTTCAAAATTTATAAAAAATGATTAAATGTCACGCCCCCTTAAGCACTTGCAATACTTGCAATAAAACAAGACTTTATTCAGATCATGATAATTCAACCATTTGTTTATTTAATTTTTTGTTCATATCCATGTGTACTTTAACTTTATTCTCATATAACTTTACCACAGCTAGTAACTATTAGAAACTATTCAAAGGGCAAAGAAAATATATACATATACATATGTATATATGTACACAAAAACTAATGTGGTTGTTAAATGTTGGTTTAACCTCCTAACAATTTTCTTGGACACCGAACAACTTACTTTTTCTACATTTATGCAATTATTAAAAAATAAAACTGAAAATAAATATAAGAGTCCATTACTGAATATAGTGTATGACTTTGGGATAAATATACAAACATGCAGGCAACACAATAACAACCTTTAATTATAATATTATCTTTGTGACATAATAAACAGTGTACTAAGTTGTCATTGTGTAGGCTTTGCGTAGTAAAATACATAAATACATATATTATTGATCTATTAAAATATAAATTAAATAATTATATAATGACATTTTTAGTTTATCGTTTTGTATACAGACAGTAACTTTGAAGATTTCATTTTTTGATAGTCGCTATATTATAATAGTAATAATAGTAATGATTACAGTTGATGAATACTGAAGCGAGTATAGTATAATATAAATTCTGTGGATATGTACAAATACGTACCTACAAATACAAGGAATATAAAAAGGCAATATGCGTTGATAAAATATGAGTTATGAAGGATAAAACGCCAATGGAACTTAAAAACGGTGCTGACAACCTATGTAAATTATAGTACAAAAGTCTGTAACAACTATTTGTTTCAAAACCGTTTGAGAAATCATAAAGTATATAGAGGTAAAACATATACATGAGATGCATTATGCACATAAAAATTATAAATATATATATAGGTATATGGCTTAAATTATAATTATTATATAATCTATAGTTTTCTACAAATATCTTTACAATTCGATACACAACTGTAGGTACAACAGTTTTGATTTAATTTTTTTATATGTATTTGTTTCTAATTGCTAATACTTTACAATTAAAGATAAATTTTCCTTTACTTTTGCATGTTTTAACGTTGGAAATAACTTTGTTATATACTATGAATATATAAATGTGTTTTTAAATTATTATTTTGTTTTATTAATTATATAAACTTTTATGTATGCGGTGACTTCATTAACATATGCATTCCTTTTATTTAATTTACTTGTGTAAGCATTACTAAAACATTTTTTTTTATAATAATGAAGTATGTGATGCTAGGCTGCAAAAGTCACACCAATTTGTATTTCTATTGAGGACGTGCAATACGTGTTAACTCCTCCTGTTTTGTTAAGCAATGAAATTATTTTTATCATTTTTATTATAATTATTTTTTTCTTGCTATGGCAGCACAATAATATTAGACACTCTGCAGACAAGCTTATACATCTCTTTGAGAACAGCGACAATGTACAATAAGAATCAACATGAATGCTAACAGATGCAATAAATTTCCTTATTAGTATTTATTTCAAAACTCCTTTCAGACACGTATAATTATTGGTTGAATATTATTTGTAAACATGCACGACTTTTTTATTCTAACCATACCATAAATATTTAAGAAATAAAATTGATAATATGAATACTGCAAGATTCTTGCTAACAAAACAAAAAACTGAATGAATATTTAACACAATATTTTCAGCATTTCGATATGTTTTGAGTCTTTAATTTATTGGAGCATCGAGCATTATTTTTTCTAATTCGTCGCAAATTACGAATTTTCATTTAACTTCAATTAAAAGTTTAACCAAATTGAAAAAACTATATATAAATAATTAAACTATTTCAAATTCGCTCTTAGTTATTCTATTAAAACTGACGCATGTATGAATAAATAGCCGTACATAGTATATTCAACAATCAACACTTTCATATTGGAAATTTTAATAGGTATTTTATAGTTGTAAACGGTATCGCAACTAATGCATTCCTTACTGCATCACGAATAAATCTATGAGTATGTATTTATTATTATTAGCATATCACCAGGACAATAGTATATAAAGCAAATGGTAGTAGTAGCATTTTCTTAATCATCTAGTAAAGAAATATTTAGAGTTTTTCATTATTTCAATTTTACATTTAGTATACAGTTATAATACGTTTTGGTCTGTGCGTCATTATTACTTAGGTTTACCGCAATTTGCTTTTCCTTTCGCTCCACTTTTACACTACAAGTCGTTGGGATAATGCGTGGCATTCCTTTGCGATATATTATCCATCGCTATCATTATATACTTATTATGTAACCATTTAATCAGGTAGCATATGCACAAAACTGACTGGAAACATGCCATGCCGTGAGGGATCACCCTCAATCACACCTTCCATCCAATTTTCATCATCTGTGCGTTCGTTAAGCACGATTAATATCTCTCCTTCCTTGAATTCTAGCTCATCATCATTATCTGCAGCGCAATCATACAAAGCGCGACAGCGACGGTGTCCAGTCTGTACGTTAGAGAGATGTAAAAAATATCAAGTTTATAATGCCAAAAATTCTACATACATAATTGAATTTTCCACCACCGCTGTTGCTTGTTCCGCTCTTTAATTGATTGTCCGGCGAAGAACTAATGCGATCATTATCACTTGACGACAAATTAGAGTCAGCTGAGTTATCTAAGCCACCGCCGCTACTGCCACTGCCACCACGGCCGTGGCCATCACCACCGCCATGCCCGCCGCCACCACCGGCGGAATCCAATTCTGTATGCCAGTGCTCGTAATCACTATAGTTCATTGATTGGTTGATGAGCTGTGTTAAAAACCATAGGTAAAAAGTTAGTTATTTGAAACTCATTGCTGCTTTAAAACACAATATTTAGTAATTTTTTAAAAGTAAGGCTAATTATAATAAACAGAAACAAAGCATATCCTTCAAACTTTATGAGTTTAAGGCTTTAGAGATGAATTACTTTCGCACTGTATTTATTGCTTGAACTTATTAGCAACGCAAGCTGAGGAAAAGTTTTATTATTGATGGCATTAGAGAGGCGCTTTCAAAAAGACAAAACTTTATCAAAAATATACACACATTTTTAAAAGAACAACAAAAGAACAGACATAAAGATTAATAAAAACAAATGGTGCACTCTTTACCGTCTCTTCACTTGGTTGGGATAATCTCAATAAATTTGTTATTTTGCGCTGTAAATTAATTATAATTTTTAATTTAGTACATTTTTACAAAGTGATCGATAAGATTTCAAAATACATCTGTTTAGTAAATTTTTATAATGACACTTTATGAAATGAATGTACGTATCGGGGTTTTAACTGTAAAACGAATGTACAAATGTTAAAAACCGTTCCGAATGTTTGTTTTCTCTAATGCAAAAAATATTTATGATCAATGTAAATTTTGTTTTTTATGTGTAACAATATAAAAAAACAATGTACAGGCATTCTCCGGACGAATAGTATTTAAATTTTACAGTGCAAATACACATATGTGCTGTGAATTTATTTTCAATAAACATAGTTTCTAACCTTTCTGGGTGGCGCTATAGGTCCTGTGTCCTCCAGCGAACAAATACTCTCATTTGATTGCCCATTAGAAATATCACGTTCTATAATAAATTATATAAGTATTTTTTTAACCTTCTTATATAGTGTACATACCGTGTGGCGGTCCAGGCGGTGGAATTTTCGGACGTGTTAAAGCCGATTTGTCAACGTGCTTCAATTGAGGAATTTCACCCGCTGGCGGTAGTACCAATTTTGCGCCAGCCAAGTGTATGTTGCGATTCACAGATTCACCGCTAGGCGAACGTTTGTGACCGAATGTTGTGAGAACTGGTATCATATTACCACCACCTCCACTACCGCCATTCGGATCTTGGGACACAACTTGTGTCTTATCATAGCGATCGTAAAAACTATGCATGGCACCATGACTGCCGCTGATGCGTGGGCTGCTTTCCACTGAACGCAAATGCGGCAATGTACCATATACCACATCCATCGACTGATTTTTATGATTAAGATTTCGTAAATCACTTGTATCAAAATTTTGTGAATGTCGCGGTGGATGAGGCAATGTGCCATACATAGAGTTGGTCGTTGTTGTATTAACAGTTGATGTCACACCAGGTGGTGGTGCCGGTGCTGTGCGCTTTTTTAGCGAATTCATATTTGCTACATATATAATTAAAAACAAATTATATATACCTTTAATTAAATTGTTATAGATTTTCCTTACCTGCAGATGTTGACTTACGAGCGCCTGGTATGTGCACAAGCTCACTGCTGGCAATACTTCTTGAAATGCGTCCACTTTGACTTGAAGCAGAACTTGGACTGGAACCGCCACCACCTCCAGCGTTGGTGCAACCACGTCCAACGCTCTCAATAACGGCACCACCACTTAAATACTGACCCATGGATACATGCTGCTTTGGTGAGGTGCCCGCCGATTGTGGATAGGCGGGTACACCGGACGGTAATGTGAATTGCCGACTTGGGCAGTTGGCAATTGGACTAGAACTGCTTTGTATTGAATCACAAGTTGAGGAACGAGATCGCAACACCGGCGAATCGCCGCCAGCGAAGCTAGGTGGACGAGAACGCGATTTCTGTGTAAGCGAAAGTGAAAAAAAAATAATATTAAGTGCTTTTCTTTATATATTTCAGCTCAATTTCATTTTTACCCGCTC